TACTACTATTACTACTACTACTACTACTACTACCACCACTACTACTACCACTACTACTACTACTACTACTACTACTACTACTACTACTACTACTACTATCGCGGCTACTAATCCGAGTAAAAATCACATAGCGCTACTGTGGGCCGCAGCACTGTCGACACCACACTGCTTCCGTAGACACGGCACCTGTGCGAACCACAACAGCTCCTGCGTACACCACAGCGCCTGCGTATACCACATTGCTTGCGCACGCCACGTCATGGGGTCCACCGCGGACAGATTAATAGACTTGTGTACAAGCTGACAGCTGCGATTGCTCGTGCGTTCTGCAGCCGGGGAATATCGATTCTCGTCGTCGTCGTCTGCTCTCCGCCTCCTCCTCCTCGTCCTCCTCCCTCTCTCCTTCGCCTTCCTGTTCTCCTCCGTACCACCCCGGGAGGGCAACGGAGAACAACGGGATGGGGGAAAAAAAAGGAGAAGAAGGAAAGAAAAAATGGACGGCGGGGAGGAGCAAGAATTATTGCGAAACGAGTGAAGAAGAAGACAAGGAAACCACGCCTCAAGAGACGCCTTGTGGGCCTCCTCTTTCTCTTCCACTTCAATGTTTTCTGGTCGGGTTGGCGTCGGTGCTGGTCACATAAGAAGCGCTCGCAAGGAAACTCGGTGTGTCTGCCACGCGCGATACCACACTCCTGGGTAATTTGTCCGGCAAAAATCCAATATACCAACAAACTTGCTGAAAATCATTTGATCGCTGTTAACAATTCTGTCAAATCCTAAGTCTCGTTCTTCATTCATCAGAATTTTAAGCAGATCAGATTGCGTCAAGCTGCCGCGAGATTCATATGGTCTTCCAGATGCAGTATACAAGTCGCTCACACCCTTTGAGACTTCGCATAAAATAAAATATACCTGAATAACTCCACTGATGCCGAAACGAGTGCTGATGTGTTCCGTGAGAGAGTTGAGCAAGTCGGCAAACGCCTCCGTCTCACCAACACGAAGTACGTCTTTAGTCGCCACTGCGCCCGCGCACCAGCGCAACAATCGCCTTGGGCTTGGTCCGAGATCTCCCACGAGCAAAACTTCGGCCTTAATGCGATCAGCTTCGTCACTTGACAACTTGTAATAACGTGCATGCTTAGTCATGTGATCGAAAGCGTCGAGCCATATTTCTTTGGCTCGAAAACTCTGGAATCCTGAGACAAGATTGCACATGTGCGCATCAAACGAACATGGCGATACGAACACAGACTCCGGCCATACCAAGAAATGAAGCGCCACCTGCGCAAGCTCGCCCAAGATGGCCGGCTCTCGTCTTCCAGCTTTCCAAACGTTGCCCCGCTCGGCCCATCTTCCGTATGGATTGAAGACTGGTGCATACAGTGTGTAATTGGTGGCCTTTAGAAGACGAATCAAGTATGCGGAGAGCGACCAGAGGAAGCTGTTCATGTCGAGTTCAAAAAGTGCGTCTGGAAGGAATGGCGTTTTGTGATTGGCCATCACGTGGCGAGCGTTCTCGCTCATCGCTGTCCGAAGAACGCACACTTGGAGAAATAATATCTGCAAGCGTGCGCGCCGTGACTCGACTGGTCGCGCTTCGCCGCGCTGGCGCTCCAACTCAGACCATAGAAGAACAGTAAAATTATCGGTGTCACGTGACAAAGACATTCGCATGCGGATCGCCCTGTTCATTCTCAGTTCAAACATATCTCCGCAAAACCGTGCCCGGTTTGTCACTGTAGATACAGCTGCGCGCACGCGTTCTTCTGATCCATAATGCGCCACCATATCTTGAAACACTAAACTTCCTGGATGGAATTCTGAGGCGTGTAAATAAATACCACTCCTTGCAGCTTCAGTAATCAGATCTTGTTCTTCTTCCAGAAATAATCTCGCTCTTTTTGTACTCCGGCCCATATTGTGACATACTATACGATTTAAGCGCACGAGTGCACCGCAACCCTGGCATCGTTTGCAATCTGATCTCGACGAGTCCTTTTCGATTTGCCCATCTCCGAAAATCAATCGTTGTTGTCAGCAGGCGCACCTTCAGCATCTTGTATCATGAGTTTGACGTCATCGACGACGTGGCAGTCGTGCAAGCTCAGGGCGATCGTTTGCCCCCGCGGCGTCTTCACAAAGATCTGTATGTCAGTGAAATCGCCGTCCTCGAGCAGGCCGCCGGCTTGCCTCCGCGCGCGAATCGCGCATCCAAGCCTGCAGCGGCCGTTGCCTCTCAAGCGTCGGAACCTCTGCTTGCCCACGATGTTTGCTGATTGCACGAGTTTTCCACGCGGAAAACAAATCATCACAAGCAGGAACACGGCGATGAGGCCGACGACGCACGAGGAGAACATCACGTGGATCGCCATGAAGACAAGAAAATACCAATGGGGGCAGTTCGAGGCACTTTGCACGACATCAGGCGGCGGGCGCGACGAATGCAGCGAGGCGGACATTGCTTGCGGGAAACCCGGCCGCCAGGAATGGCCGAGCCCGCAGAGCCTAAAGATGACTCTCGAGCACAATATAATAACAACGATAATCAGTCACCGTGCCCCCTGGCACGTTGAAGCGTGCTAGAATGTCAAGTGCTGGTTTGATATGGTTTTTATAAGTCTTCTAAGGTACATCTCCTCTTCCTCTCGCAGCACTGCGATGCACGCATCGGCCCCCCTCCCGAGGCCACAATCTCTCGACAAATACAATAGATTCGCGCCAAGATGGGGCCAAAAGGGCCCCAAGAGGCTGCCAAGACGGCCCAGGAGAGCCCCAAGAGGCGCCCCAAGAGAGCCCCGAGATACCACATTTGTAAATCCGCAAGGGCTTCGCTCGCTGCCGCCGGCTCCTCTCTAGTAGAATGGGATACATCAGAGCTGGATTGGGGCGTCTAGGCGCTGCCTTGAAGCAGCAAGGGAACGTCGTTCAAGGGTGGCTGACGATCAGCAAGCCATATGAGTTATGGGGGATATTGACCTCAGGTGCGTGAATGCGGCGCTATTTTCGAGGCCTTGGTGATCAGAGATGTTTACGTTGCCGCTCGCTCTTGGAAGCCTTGGTGTCGGGTATTGTTTATGTAACCGTTAGCTCTTGGGAGCTTTGGCGTTGCGAGCTTGTGACGTTACTTTCCCTCTCAACATGATGATTTTTGGGTTCGTGCGCCCCGCGCCTCTCTCCTTCGCTGGCAGAAGCGGGCAGAGGTGCGGGGGGAGTAGTTTCTTATTGGAACTCCCCTTGGGAAACCTACTGGGGCTCTCTTAAGGCGCCCCGCGGATGTCTTGGGCCGTCTTGTCCTGGTGACTTCCGAGGTTCTAGATCCGCCGCCCACCAAGTACGGGTGCCCGGGTGGTTGAGGTTCCGCCATCCCCGCATCTGAGGGATCAGGCGCGCGCCTCCGCCGAACCCACCGTGGGGGGTTCACCGGCGCGGGCGCTATCGATTTCGTCGTATTCCATTCCCTCTCCTCCTCCTCCTCCTCCTCTTCGTTGTCCTCTTTGTCTTCCTCATTCTCGTCGTCATCACTCGTAATTTTATCATCCGCGAAATCCAAAAAACTAATCCTTCTCCTTCTTCTCCTCCCCGCTCTGTCGGGCCACGGCGGAAATGCCCCGTCAGGGGTTTTGTTGTTTGCCCCATCCTGGGCCCTCCTGGGCCACGTCGGTTTTCCTGGGACCTCTCGGGGCCTGCCGGGGCCTCCCAGGGTTTGTTGGAAGCTCTTGAAGCTTCTCGGGGAAGGCGGCTTTTCCGAAAGGAGTTCAAGGGAGGGCTAGCGTTCTCTCGGGGCGCCCCGGGAAGCCTCTTGGCAGGAGAGGCGCCTGAGGGGGGCAGCTTGCCATCCAAATTTCAGACAACACCTGCTTTCTTGCACACTGTCTCAGGGCCATCTTGGGAGTCCTCGGGCTGTTCTGGCTATTTTTTGGGGAGGGCTCCGCTCAGCAGTCTCCCTGCTGCAGAAGCTCTGCAGACGGCCCCGAGCCGCGCGAGCTCAGGGCGGTCTGGTCGGCGTCCTGGTCGTCGCTCTGGTCGGCGCCCTGGTTGTCGCTCTGGTCGGCGCTCTTGTCGTCGCTCTGGCCGGCGCCCTCGAAGATGCTCTGGTCGGCGCCTTGTTCGGCGCGCAGGTGTGCCGGCGGCGGCCCAGGAGGCGGCCTCGGGCCGCGCGAGCTCAGGGCGGTCGTCTGGTCGGCGTCCTGGTCGTCGCTCTGGTCGGCGGTCTGGTCGGCGCCTTGGTCGTCGCTCTGGTCGGCGCCCTGGTCGTCGCTCTGGTCGGCGCTCTTGTCGTCGCTCTGGTCGGCGCCTTGTTCGGTGCGCAGGTGTGCCGGTGGCGGCCCTGGAGGCGGCCTCGGTCCGCGCGAGCTCAAGGCGTAGGCGCCGGGCGTGTTGCTGGCGCCGGTGTTCTGGTCGGCGTCCTGGTCGTCGCTGTGGTCGGCGTTCTGGTCGGCGCCCTTGTCGTCGCTCTGGTCGGCGCTCTGGTCGGCGCTCTCGTCGTCGCTCCGGTCTTCGCTCTGGTCGGCAGCCTGGTCGGCGCCCTTGTCGTAACTCTGGTCGGCGCTCTGGCCGGCGCCCTGGTCGGTGCTCTGGTCGGCGCCCTGTTCGGTGCGCAGGTGCGTTGGTGGCGGCCCAGGAGGGGGCCTCGGTCCGCGCGAGCTCAAGGCGTAGGCGCCGGGCTTGGTGTTGGCGCCAGTGTTCTGGTCGGCGGTCTGGTCGGCGCTCTTGTCGGCGGTCTGGTCGGTGCCCTGGTCGGCGCTCTGGCGTTGCAGCGCCCGTCGTAGTGCTTCAGCGGCTGGCGTCGGCGCTGGCGTCGGTGGGCTGCGGCGGTGCGGCGGCGGCACATGGATGCCGCTAGGCGGCGTGCATGGGATGCCGCTTGGCGTTGTCCTCGTGGGCGTCGGCGTCAGGTGCCTGTGGCGCAGCAGTCGTCCGCTTCCCTCGGGCTCGCAGCCTCCCGCAGCAGGCTCAGGCCTGAAGCGCTTCGCCGGCTTGTAGATGCTCCAGTCCATGGCGGCAAAAAGCCACCGCAACTTTTCGTGCAACGATTTGGAAGGAGCGCATTATTTGCATTGAAATTGAATCATGAAGATGTACGGTAATGATGCAAGTCTTGGGGCGCTCAGGAACCGAAGTTGCAAAGATCCATGGACATCCCATACAAATTTATCATCCTCATGATGCAATTAAAATGCAAAGTGTTTTATCAAAAGGCCCACAAGGGCCTTCATTGTATCATCAGAACTAGAAGATGCGATTTAAAGAATCATGTCATCATTTTTTTTTTATATATATATATATATATATATAATCGTTGCACGGAAGGTATTGGGTGGCTTTTTTTTGGCGCTTCGGCCCGTCCCGCCGGTCACCCGGAAGTTTTCCTCCCTGCTTGGTCCGCTGTGCAATGTTCAAGGTAGCAGCCGCGAGGGGCGTAGGCAGGGGGAGCTCAATTACCTCTTGCGCGTCCTCTGGCCAGTAGTTGCTGGCTGCCGGCCAGCTGCAGCAAAGAACGATACGACAGATCTGTGGAGGAGACCGGCTCTGTGCGGCGGGAGATGCGGCTGAGAGTCTGAGAGGAGGGAGTAGGTGAAAGAGAAAGAGTGAGTGGGCGAGGGGACAGTAAGAGGAGAGGAAAGAAGAGATGATATTAGGGAGAACACGAGGGATAACGATAACTCAGATGCTTGCGGGCGAGTGCCCCCCTGACCCAAGCAAGTGAGCCACTCGCAGTGCCACTCAAAATCGTGAGACAAGGCCGGCACGGGGGGGAAGGAGCGGAGACGCGAGGAAGGAGGCGGAGGCAAGGAATAGGGAGCGAGAAGGAAAGAGAAGGAGAGGGGAGAGGAGAGAGGTGGGAGGGAAGAGAAAGGAGAGATGGGAAGGGATATGAGGAGGAACATGAAGGAGTAGGGAAGGGAAGCATGAGAGATGGGCGGAAGAGGGTAGCTAGGAAGGGAGAGAGGAAGGGGGAAGAGCAGACAGGTGGGAGGTTGAAGGAAGGAGAGATGGAGAGGGAGATGAGGAGATCAAGAAAGGAGTACGGAAGGGAATCATGAGAGATGCAAGGAAGAAAAGGGCGAGGAAGGGGGGAGGGGCGGGATAATGCAGAGAGAGAGAGAGAGGGGGAGGGAAGGAGCAGGATCGTATGTGACAAGTTTCGTCCTCCCACATATATATGTGGGAGGGCGAAACTTGTCACTGCGAGTGGCGCACGATTTTGAGTGGCACTGCGAGTGGCTCACTTGCTTGGGTCAGGGGGGCACTCGCCCGCAAGCATCTGAGTTATCGTTATCCCTCGTGTTCTCCCTAATATCATCTCTTCTTTCCTCTCCTCTTACTGTCCCCTCGCCCACTCACCAACACTCTTTCTCTTTCACCTACTCCTTCCTCTCAGCCGCATCTCCCGCCGCACAGAGCCGGTCTCCTCCGCAGATCTGTCGTATCGTTCTTTGCTGCAGCTGGCCGGCAGCCAGCAACTACTGGCCAGAGGACGCACAAGAGGTAATTGAGCTCCCCCTGCCTACGCCCCTCGCGGCTGCTACCTTGAACATTGCACAGCGGACCAAGCAGGGGGGAAAACTTCCGGGTGACCGGCGGGGCGGGCCGAAGCGCCAACAAAAAACCACCCAATACCTTCCGTGCAACGATTTTTTTTTAAAAGCATAATTGATGACATGATTTTTTAAATCGTATCTTCTAGTTCTGATGATACAATGAAGGCCCTTGTGGGCCTTTTGATAAAACACTTTGCATTTTAATTGCATCATGAGGATGATAAATTTGTATGGGATGTCCATGGATCTTTGCAACTTCGGTTCCTGAGCGCCCCAGGACTTGCATCATTACCGTACATCTTCATGATTCAATTTCAATGCAAATAATGCGCTCCTTTCAAATCGTTGCATGAAAAGTTTTGGTGGCTTTCTGCCGCCATGGACTGGAGCATCTACAAGCCGGCGAAGCGCTTGAGGCCTGAGCCTGCTGCGGGAGGCTGCGAGCCCGAGGGAAGCGGACGACTGCTGCGCCGCAGGCACCTGGCGCCGACGCCCACGAGGACAACGCCAAGCGGCATCCCATGCACGCCGCCTAGCGGCATCCATGTGCCGCAGCCCACCGACGCCAGCGCCGACGCCAGCCGCTGAAGCACTACGACGGGCGCTGCAACGCCAGAGCGCCGACCAGGGCACCGACCAGACCGCCGACAAGAGCGCCGACCAGACCGCCGACCAGAACACTGGCGCCAACACCAAGCCCGGCGCCTACGCCTTGAGCTCGCGCGGACCGAGGCCCCCTCCTGGGCCGCCACCAACGCACCTGCGCACCGAACAGGGCGCCGACCAGAGCACCGACCAGGGCGCCGGCCAGAGCGCCGACCAGAGTTACGACAAGGGCGCCGACCAGGCTGCCGACCAGAGCGAAGACCGGAGCGACGACGAGAGCGCCGACCAGAGCGCCGACCAGAGCGACGACGAGGGCGCCGACCAGAACGCCGACCACAGCGACGACCAGGACGCCGACCAGAACACCAGCGCCAGCAACGCGCCCGGCGCCTACGCCTTGCGGACCGAGGCCGCCTCCAGGGCCGCCACCGGCACACCTGCGCACCGAACAAGGCGCCGACCAGAGCGACGACAAGAGCGCCGACCAGAGCGACGACCAGGGCGCCGACCAGAGCGACGACCAAGGCGCCGACCAGACCGCCGACCAGAGCGACGACCAGGACGCCGACCAGACGACCGCCCTGAGCTCGCGCGGCCCGAGGCCGCCTCCTGGGCCGCCGCCGGCACACCTGCGCGCCGAACAAGGCGCCGACCAGAGCATCTTCGAGGGCGCCGGCCAGAGCGACGACAAGAGCGCCGACCAGAGCGACAACCAGGGCGCCGACCAGAGCGACGACCAGGACGCCGACCAGACCGCCCTGAGCTCGCGCGGCTCGGGGCCGCCTGCAGAGCTTCTGCAGCAGGGAGACTGCTGAGCGGAGCCCTCCCCAAAAATAGCCAGAACAGCCCGAGGACTCCCAAGATGGCCCTGAGACAGTGTGCAAGAAAGCAGGTGTTCTCTGAAATTTGGATGGCAAGCTGCCCCCCTCAGGCGCCTCTCCTGCCAAGAGGCTTCCCGGGGCGCCCCGAGAGAACGCTAGCCCTCCCTTGAACTCCTTTCGGAAAAGCCGCCTTCCCCGAGAAGCTTCAAGAGTTTCCAACAAACCCTGGGAGGTCCCGGCAGGTCCCGAGAGGTCCCAGGAAAACCGACGTGGCCCAGGAGGGCCCAGGATGGGGCAACAACAAAACCCCTGACGGGGCATTTCCGCCGTGGCCCGACAGAGCGGGGAGGAGAAGAAGGAGAAGGATTAGTTTTTTTGATTTCGTGGATGATAAAATTACGAGTGATGACGACGAGAATGAGGAAGACAAAGAGGACAACGAGAGAGGAGGAGGAGGAGGAGGAGAGGGAATGGAATACGACGAAATCGATAGCGCCCGCGCCGGTGAACCCCCCACGGTGGGTTCGGCGGAGGCGCGCGCCTGATCCCTCAGATGCGGGGATGGCGGAACCTCAACCACCCGGGCACCCGTGCTTGGTGGGCGGCGGATCTAGAACCTCGGAAGTCACCAGGACAAGACGGCCCAAGACATCCGCGGGGCGCCTTAAGAGAGCCCCAGTAGGCTTCCCAAGGGGAGTTCCAATAAGAAACTACCCCCCCCGCACCTCTGCCCGCTTCTGCCAGCGAAGGAGAGAGGCGCGGGGCGCACGAACCCAAAAATCATCATGTTGAGAGGGAAAGTAACGTCACAAGCTCGCAACGCCAAAGCTCCCAAGAGCTAACGGTTACGTAAACAATACCCGACACCAAGGCTTCCAAGAGCGAGCGGCAACGTAAACATCTCTGATCACCAAGGCCTCGAAAATAGCGCCGCATTCACGCACCTGAGGTCAATATCCCCCATAACTCATATGGCTTGCTGATCGTCAGCCACCCTTGAACGACGTTCCCTTGCTGCTTCAAGGCAGCGCCTAGACATCCCAATCCAGCTCTGATGTATCCCATTCTACTAGAGAGGAGCCGGCGGCAGCGAGCGAAGCCCTTGCGGATTTACAAATGTGGTTTCTCGGGGCTCTCTTGGGGCGCCTCTTGGGGCTCTCCTGGGCCGTCTTGGCAGCCTCTTGGGGCCCTTTTGGCCCCATCTTGGCGCGAATCTATTGTATTTGTCGAGGGATTGTGGCCTCGGGAGGGGGGCTGATGCGTGCATCGCAGTGCTGCGAGAGGAAGAGGAGATGTACCTTAGAAGATTTATAAAAACCATATTTAACCAGCACTTGACATTCTAGCGCGCTTCAACGTGCCAGGGGGCACGGTGACTGATTATCGTTGTTATTATATTGTGCTCGAGAGTCATCTTTAGGCTCTGCGGGCTCGGCCATTCCTGGCGGCCGGGTTTCCCGCAAGCAATGTCCGCCTCGCTGCGTTCGTCGCGCCCGCCGCCTGATGTCGTGCAAAGTGCCTCGAACTGCCGCCATTGGTATTTTCTTGTCTTCATGGCGATCCACGTGATGTTCTCCTCGTGCGTCGTCGGCCTCATCGCCGTGTTCCTGCTTGTGATGATTTGTTTTCCGCGTGGAAAACTCGTGCAATCAGCAAACATCGTGGGCAAGCAGAGGTTCCGACGCTTGAGAGGCAACGGCCGCTGCAGGCTTGGATGCGCGATTCGCGTGCGGAGGCAAGCCGGCGGCCTGCTCGAGGACGGCGATTTCACTGACATACAGATCTTTGTGAAGACGCCGCGGGGGCAAACGATCGCCCTGAGCTTGCACGACTGCCACGTCGTCGATGACGTCAAACTTATGATACAAGATGCTGAAGGTGTGCCTGCTGATCAACAACGATTGATTTTCGGAGGGAAGCAGCTGGAGAGCGGGCCCTTGCTGTCGACATACAACATTCAGAAAGAATCCGTGGTGCAATTGGCTCTCCGCTTGCTGGGCGGCGTGTCTTCTAAACGCGCAGTTAAGA